GAAGGTCCATACCAATGATTGGCATAGAAACATCTGCAACAACGAAAATCCAGTGGATGGGTTTGCGTAAACCCACGTTAAGGTAAACGTACCTTTTGCCATACGTAGCGATCGGTTTTCCGTTTGCCGCCTGTAAGTTTAGGGTCGATTCGTGAAGTCGGTCGTTAGGATTTGCTGGGAGAACGCTAACTTCTGCGCCAGTGTCGACGAGGTAGCGAACTCTCGTTGTCACATCTGTGACGAATAACAGACGGCTTTGTTCGCCGGCTACGGTTGCCGTTAACGCGTGCCGGCTTGGAAGTTTCCCGAAATGTTTTTCGAATCAGTCGGTTTCGTGTTGGGAAAATTGCAGGGTTTTCTGCAATTTCTGGAAAACTTTCCACACTGGTTATGATACCAGCACCAGTCGGGGTTATCTGTCTCTCGTGGTCTAGAGACAGATCGCTTACGAGAAATGCTTCTACGTGGTGTGCGCGATCTCTTACGGTCGGTACGAAGACTAAGATAACGCGTGAGTGTGTGACATAAGTCGTTTATATCATTCTGAGTCGTTTGAGGTTTTTCTTTGACTGAAAATACCTCGGTAGTAGATTTCGTAATTTCTAAAATGCGGTCGGCAGATGCAGCTAGCTCGTCTAAGGCGTTGTTCTGGAACGAGACCAGAACTGCTTGTACCTGTTGGGGAAGTTTTGACAAGAAGAGTTGTTTGAATAGACCTTCGTCGAAAGTTCTTGGGCCTATAACCTCTCTCATCCGTTGCAACATGTCTGTCGCAGAATCGTGTTGCAGGTCGATATTGTTGAAGAGTTGATCTAACCTTTGTCGATCGGTTAGGTCTCCTCGTTTAAGAATCGAGCGTTTTAAGATTTCGTAAGGATCGGAAACATCACTAGTAAACATACTAGGTGTTACGTACCTGTTGAATTCGCGCGGTAGTGCCTTGACTACTGCGAGGAATTGTGCACGTGTGTCGATCACGCCGTGCTCGGAGAAGTCGGCTTCTGCGTAGCAAAACCAGGCTTCGATGTTGTCGGGCCAGAAAGGCATGAGTTGAAACGAAGGCGGGGACAAAGTCTTAAGCTTGAGTACTTTAGGTGTCTGTTCAGTCATGATGAAGTATGAAGTACGATAATGAACAAGGGGAAAATATATATATCCAGGAAAAAACACGAAAAAAGTCACAATGCTTAAAAAAATAAAAGAAATAAGGCAGTGATATATAAAAATCCCAAAAAGGAACAGACTCACAGTTGCAATTAGGTGTACCAGATCACGTCGGTTTCACCAATGATGATGTCACAGGTATTCAGTGTTTGACAACGCTTCTACCAGTAACACCTTCTAATATATTTCGTTCCCGCCCAGAGAAATCAAAAGACAGAGTCGAGGAGATCGGAAGAGTGTATTTGGCGATGACCAATATATCGGAATTCTCTGATCTAATCTGGCTAGCGATTGCGGTTGATGTTGAGCACGGCGTTACCACACGTGATCTGGTGCGGATGCCTGACCGAGCGCCTTCAGCTAGGTGAGTCCACTAAAACATATGGTCAGCATCCAATGTCGAAAACTTAGTGCTATTTATTTTGGGGATTTATTTACCGCTACACAGTCTTAGAAGATGAGTGTTCTGTGTCTCAATTAAATGCAGCTGGCTGTGAACAAATGTTAAGAATCTTTTTGACAACTGCGACTTTTAGTTTATCAGACACTTACTCTGCTTGTATGTTGTCCTGTTAAACTAGACACAGATGCATGGGAATACTTAAATGGGAGCAAAATAATAAAAACATTGCAATACGGTACTAAGCCCATGTTATGCTTTGCACAAGTAATAGTAGCTGACCTTATCTAATATTGATGAACTCAAGGTAAATCACAACTGCATAAATTCTTTGCTAAAAAACATGTAACTTGGTTATTTATCTATTCCACATTTCTGACTAAATTCATCACTATTTTTTCCATTTAGAATGCAACAGGAGTGCCTTCACAGACCCTAAAAACTGTTTCGCCCTTGGAACTATGGCCCTATGGAACTGATTACGGGAGACCCAACGAATAGCAGATTATAAAAAGGATGCTGGACTTCCATTTTAGTCTCACAACTTCCAGTATTTTTTGACTTCTTTTACTCTTTCGTTTGGAAAAAAACAACAAAAACTGCAGCTTAGCATTACCAATACAACTTTTAAACAAGAACTTTGTTTAAACCTTTGTTTGATATTCGATTCTTAATGAAAGTTCTTGAATAAATTTTTGAATCTAATGCTACTTTGTTTTATCTACTTAATCGTTGCAAGAAACTTGTGATAAGCGAGCCTCTCAGCACCTAGTTCATGTGTTCAAATGGTTGTAGACTGAATAGAAGCTTTCGCTTAACAGGCTTCCGTGTCTAGTAGCGGGGGATCACCAAAACCTCCAGGCAGGAACCTAGGTATGTTAACAATAAAAGAGGAAAGAGAAATTGGTAAATCATAGTATGATACTATCCTTAAGAATAGATCCACTTGCCTCTTAAAGGACTCCTGGGAAGTCGCTTGGACTAGCTCGGCGGGCAGCGGATTCCAGCATTTGACAACTCCTAAGGAGTAGAAGTTGCGTCTACAGTCCGTTCTGCTGTGTTGTGTCGCTGGTTTCTGGGACTAAGCTTAAGTAGGTGTTTTAGGGGATGTCCAGAATTGTTAAGGTTATTGTAAGCCATTAAGTCACCTCTAAGACGTCTATACTCTAATCAGTAGAGGTTGAGTGATTGGAGGCGCTTTTCATAAGGTGATTTGGTGCATATCTTCGTCATTTTCTTGCGAGACTTACATACTCGGGTCCTCTCATAACTTATTATAACCACTATGGGTTGTCACGGCAGCTGATGGATGGACACGCGTTACACATCCTAACCGTACCTGCGTCTTATCTGATAGCTTCTAATTCAAATGACAAGCAAGCAATGCCCCTACCCGCACTAATGGAACACTAGTAACTAGAATGCACCACGTATGGTACCTTACACTGGTTTACGCATTCGCTTAACTCTTTAGTGAGAATATTAATACGGTCCTGCTGAAAATCCCATGAACCCCTTTACCTTCATCAAAACAAATAAGTCTGTATTTGCTGCATATAGCAATTTTATTATTCAAAAGTAAGACATAACAGTTAGAATTGGAGTAAAATGGTAGTATACAGCAGATGCACGTGGTACATGTCTTCATCGATTAACTGAAATAGAGAATACGGATATTAGCTTAACAGGCTTATTTAGAAAGACTAGTGTCTAATTTGAACTTACTGCGTGAGAAAGTTATACTGGAACTACGAATGTTGTAGAAATAGAATTTCTCGGGGCGTACGAAGCACTCAGACTGTAAGACAGTTGTCCAAAAATAATTCGAATATGAAGGTGAAAATTTGCAGGTACTTTTCATCGTAAGGGTGAACATATTAGGTACCAGTTGACATCATACCGTAAGAATACACATATTTGCGAGTGGTGAAATATGATCTATAAAAAAGTGAGCTTGATAACAGTTAATTACCTTTTTACTCCCTGATCATGACACTTCGGCTTCCTTTTATGGCCAAAACAGCAAACATACACTACACACTGGTAGCAGATTTCCGGCTTTTCAATGTTAAGCTTGCTTTAACACACTGCATAATGAGTACAACCCCTCTATTACTGCTATATGGCATATTTTTCATAACAAACCCCCTGCAATAGATTGGTAGCATCTGTGACTTCATCTATAGTTGTCTGAAGTCTGGGTCCTTTCGAAATCAATACCGATATACGCTACTCCTTGGCACTCTGCATTAGTTTGACTCGTTGGTGGGATAGTGTTGTCCATAATACTGAAGAAAATTTAAAAAAGAACGCAGATTGTTTCCTTTCATTTTGCCGATAACATCATAAAGGACAGTTAGGAACGAACATGCGAACAGTTAGTCACAGGCGGCAGCAACAATTATTATAGCTAAATGAAAACGAACTTCGGCTTTGGATATCTAGGAAACAAGGTAAAACATAACCGATTGTCGTTTAAAAACGTAAGGTCTTATGTTAGTACTAGCCAGCTTAGCTGAATAAATACAGTGACTTCAGTAGCAGCAGGTAAAACCCAGAAAACAAAGCGAAATCAGGAAAATTTTTGCTCCAACGTTTAGAGTATTACACTAACTTTTGGATTTTAGCACACTGAAACATTAAATTCTGTAGCTACACAAAAGAAATAGCGGAAAAAACACAGAACAAAAAAGCCGGCCGACATTTTATAACACAAGACCAGCCAGATTGCCTGAAGAAATACATTGACTTGAGTAGAAGCAGCAAAAAACCAGAAAATATCGCTGATTCGAAATAAACTTCACACCAACATATAGAACATTACACTAACTGCGGCATTTTAGCACACTGAGACATTAAATTACACAGCTACACAAAAGAAATAGCTGAAAGAAGCACAGAACGAAGAAAGCCGACCGCCATTGCTTACGAAGATGGCGGATGTAATAATTCCCGCCTCATTCTGATTGGTTGCTAAGCTGAAGGGCACATTTACGAAATTGAGTTGCGTTTAATTGCAGCCGTACTTTATCCCTTATGCGGTGCTACTGCTTCCTTATAATACTGAGATATTGCCTCATTGGCGGAAGCAAGAGTATTATGTAGTAAACCTTTACTTACTAGTCTGATGCCGACACAGATTTTCGAAGGTGAGAAGTACAGACATATTTCTTTGCACTACAGACATTCTTCTCCAATATCCGGAATATTGTTGTATGGCTCAATAGGATTACACAATTCAGAGATAATTTAACATAATTCGAAACAGCATTTCATGTGATATTGATCTCTTAATTTTTTTAAGACACAGATTATTTCTATTTCGGCAGATTGAGATTTTTCTATTTAGATGTCTGTTTGTTTAGATACGTCAATTTTACGTTCAGGTGCCTAAAATGTACTTTTAAGGCGCTACTTACGGTTGTGTGACTGAAATATGGGTGAAAGGACGGACGACAGTGATGTAGTAGTCACAATAGGAGTTTGTGCAATGGCAAAGAAAGCGATGTCAAAACCAATGAAGGAAATTTTGAGAAGAATGGACAAGTTCCAGCACATTAAGATAATAATATTCGACGAGAAAATGATATTAGATTCACCAATAGAGTCATGGCCCATCTGTGATGCACTGGTCAGTTTTTATTCTGAAGGATTTCCTCTCAAAAAAGCTATTGCTTATTCGAAGCTGCGGAAGCCTTACCTTGTCAATGACCTTGAATCCCAATACATTTTAATGGATAGAAGAAGGGTTTATGAGTGCTTGACGAGAGAAGGTGTTCCAGTTCCGAGATACGCATTTGTTGATAGAACATCAGAAAACCCAGTGAAAGTTGTTGAGCTTGACGATTCAATTGAGGTTAGTGATTTTTTCTAAAGACCCGAGGTATACTTTATTAGCTGACTTCCATTACGCTTAATTTTTAGGTATACAGTATTGAGTAGCACTTCTTAATATTGTAGTGCGGGTAAGACTATTTGTTCTGGAATACAAGAATTTCAGTTAGTAGATAGATTTGTACATTGAGATAAACCTCAGCACTTTCAATTGTAAACCTAAGAAAATTCTACGGGACTATTATTTATGGACGAACTAGTCAAATTTAAGTTAGCATGTCTTGAATTTTGGCCCGAAATTCATTTAACCATTTAGTTAAATATCATTTCGGCACTATAGTTTATTATCGGTTTGCGTTGTTCAACATTCTTAGGTCACTTGAGCGTTACTCAAAGGTCGTCCATAAATCATAGTCCCACCGGAAATTCGACTGGCGTGTAACTATGTTTTTTTATTTGTTATGACGTAGTAGATCATGTGTAAAGGAACAGGGTTAGCCGGGGTCTTAGAATCAGATTTTGAAGCTTTCTGACGGTTTCTATTAAACCCATCCATAACTTAATTAATGAATCCTATCTCAAAGACATCAACACGCACCACCTTAAACTGGAGATTAACTTCTTGCCACTTTATTTTGCATGTTATGTATCATGAAGTTGGCTTTAGAATTTCCATGATTAGCATGTTGTTTCCAGGCTGTTAAAGGTTTTCTAACGTTTCCTAACATGTCTGAGAAGAAATTTAAACTCATGAAACTTCAGTTTGAATAAAATTATGAATATAATTAAAATATTAACGTAAAATCTCGATCAGTCATATGTATATTCATAAACATAATTTCTCTGTACGTGTGTAACTTTCGTGAGCAGAACGAACATTGATTGGATGTAGTCAACCAATTTTATTATTGAAGGCTAGTTTCGCTTCATGCTTACACATAATAACCTGCCATATAGTTCTAGTTAGCCAGGTTTTCATAACCTGAGGAAATCAGAAAGGTAACGCTTAAAAGTCCTGGTAGTATTGATTAGTTCTACTTGAATAAAAAGTTTTAGATGAGGTTTTATAAAATTGTCGTACGACATTTTATCTATTTTCCCTTAAAATGTGTACCTAGCGTTGCATCTTACTAGCATGCATAATTGGGACACTATATATATATGTACAAGCTAAAGATTGGAGATATTTTTGGCGATTTGTGCTCATGCTTATTCCGTCCGACCATGAATAAGCTTCTAGAAATCTTGCAACCTAGCGGACCCTTGTGTTTTACTTGATCTAAAGATGATTTAAAGATGAATTGTATGTAATCAGCTTTTTGCTTTTTTTAATGGTGGGGTAAACAACGATAAACCAACGCTTAACTTAGCACACGTTATGGAACTGCGTTTATTCTCGTTTTCCGTCACAGTGTTTTCAAATTAGTTACTTTTCTGTGTTGAGCGCAGTCGCATAGCAAAATTGTGGCAAAATGCTTTGGTGAGTTTAGTTAGTGTGAAGTAATTGGATGAAAAGAACCACCTCATAAGTTTGCTTGTAAAATATTAAGAAATGATATGAATATATTCATCGTGTTCTTTTTTTGTTCTGTCTACTGTGTTAACAAAGCATCTTTTTTTGTTGACTAAAGTGTTTTTCATTACTCTGGTATTCCTCTATTAGATTTTTAGTAGATAGTTACTGAATATTTTATGTGGGCTGTCAGCAGAACGAAATTTTATGACATTGAGAAGTTTTAATTGATCTTGTCAAGTTTTTTTGGTCATTTAAAAACCTAATTTATGTGAAAATTTTGAGTAAGTTGATACGATTAAAACAATATAAAGTAATAACTTAGTTCCACTACTTGAACTTTGGCAATTTTATAAGTCAATATTTTTGTACAAACAATTGTCTACCGTCCTTAAATGTATCTTTGCCAGATTATTATCACACTAATAAGTTTGTCTAGCCTAGATTTGTCTTCAATTTTCCGACGTACCTCTTGAATAAAGTATAAATTTTTATTTCAGATTAATGGTGAGGTTTTTCACAAACCATTCGTAGAAAAACCTTTGCATGCTGAAGATCATAATATCTACATCTACTTCCCTAGCAGCGCTGGAGGAGGCAGTCAGCGTCTCTTTCGAAAAGTTGGAAATCGCAGCAGCAAGTACTTTCCACACAGTAATATTCGAACAAATGGATCTTATATGTATGAGGAATTTATGCCAACGGATGGTACAGATGTAAAGGTACGATGAACGTTATGTATGATGTGGGGTATTTTGTATCTAGACCGTCAGTTTGTGTGTCTAATAGAGATTATTTAAACGTCACGAAGTTAGACATTAAAACCGTTGGATGCCGGCTCAGTGGTCTAGTTGGTTAGGCGCCTGGCGCGAGACTAACAAGTCCTGAGTTCGAATCCCGCGTGGCGGGGTCGTGGATGCGCATTGCTGAGGAGTCCCACAATAGGATGGAACGGCTATTCAGTGCTTCCAGGTTTTCCATGGTGGTCTAGCTTCAATTGACTCATGATCTCAACTGTTGAAGTTTTGGATTCCGTGAATTTTCAGACCCTATGCTAGTCTGAGAGTTAAAACCAAACTTTAAGGTTTAGGGTATGTTATATGATAACTTGCAGTTGCCTTGGTAGTACAAATGAGGAAAGTGATTGATTTTTTCCCCATTCTGACTATTACTCCAATTCACTAGGTCTAATCATCATTTTATTTCAATTATTTTCCTTAATTGAAGAGTCTTCTTCCGTGTACGTTCATAACATTTATTTTCAATTTACCGACATCGTTACTGTGATTACTTGTAAAACCTTTCCCAGTTAATGTGAAGCCTCATTTTAAGTTCTTATTTTAAAGAAGCTACCGAGTGTCTCATTTCTTAATTTCTAAGTATATATATTTGACAGTTTAATTATTTGACTTTTCTGGTCTCTCATAGCCAATGAAAATTAGAAAGCTTTTATTATTCAAACCTAATCATTTGTGCTATGAATGGCGCTTTTGGTACTAAAATCAGGACACAGTCGACTAGGAATAGCCTTATATGTTGTAAGCAACATTTTAGTCTTTCGCTGCTTTTATGTTAAATTCCATCATGTAAAATTATATGGATTCTAAAGTTCGTTCTTATTTGATAGTCACTAGATCCGAAATTTAGTTAGTTTAGATGTGGTGCTAATATAATTGTTATATAATACAAAGGAATTTTAAAGTTAACTCCATGATAACTTTTTTATTATAACCCACTTAGGTTTACACGGTCGCAGATGATTATGCTCATGCAGAGGCTCGAAAATCTCCTGCCTTAGATGGGAAGGTAGAACGAGATCACGAAGGTAAAGAAGTTCGCTATCCTGTCATACTAACACCTAGAGAGAAAATCATTGCCAAGAAAGTAGCAAAAGCTGTTCGGCAGCAAATCTGTGGATTCGATCTTCTTCGGGCTAATGGAATGTCTTATGTTTGTGACGTAAATGGATTTTCTTTTGTAAAGTCATCCAAAAAGTACTATGATGACTGTAGTCACATTCTTGGTGTGTTAATTACTCGAAAAATAGCACCACGATTGTGTTTGCCGACCAACTTGCCTCCAGGTACGGATGTAGATACCCCGCTGGTACCAACAACTTGTGGAGCAATTATGGAACTTCGTTGTGTAATCGCTGTCATTCGTCATGGTGACAGGACGCCAAAACAGAAAATGAAAATGGAAGTTTGCCATCAGAAATTTTTCTCATTTTTCACTAAGTATGCAGGTGGTTGGGCTCGTGAATTAAAAATCAAACGTCCTACCCAGTTGCAAGAAATTTTAGATATTGTGCGATCCATTTTGGAAGAAATTGATTCTGGCCAGTGTACTGATAATTGTCTTCTTCGAATAAAGCCAAAATTTGAGCAACTAAAGTGAGTTCATATTTTCTGAAAGAAGTACATTACTTTTGTCGACAAACGCTCCCCAAAATATTACTGTCCTACGACATAGTATGTCATAGTACAAGTATGAATATTTTTACATATTTTAGGGTACAATAATTTATGTCAAAACCTTGTATAAATTTAGCATAGGATACAATGTTTTAACAATATGAGTGCTTTTGGTGTTTTCGGATTGTCTTTTGCGGTGGAAACTACGACGCATGTTTTGTCTTATTTGGAACTCATAGACTGTATGTACCTCCATCCGTGATGTTGACACTGAAGCTCGAGTCTAGTACCTATGCCGACGAGTTACTGATTAAACTGGTGAGTCCATATAGTTCCCAAATTATGAATTACTGTTAGTAATATAAACAACGAGAATGTATCGACTCTCACAACAAGATTTTAATAATACTATTTTTATTCTTATCACTTATCCATTGTCTCTTTAGGATCAGTTTGTTTTAATTAATATCTTAAACACTTATTAAACTGGTTTAATATCCCGATCATTCTTTCATAATCAGTCGTATTAGGCTACATTAACTGATGATCGAGAAAATCGTAATGTGTATACATCAAGCTTGCCCAGCTTTTAATAAATTACTTCACCTGTAGATCGGTAAACTTTGAAATTCCCAATAAATATCCAGCTGTTTGTTAAACCATTTATTCCATTTCACTACACGAATATAGAAAGTTGCCGTGTATGATGATAGGGATAGACAGGTCTCAAGAATTTAAAGATTTTTTCGGAACGCTTTGAAGATATGATCAAACTACAGTTATATGATTACAAGCTAAAAGTACTGGCTAGGGATAATAAATAAGTCAACATGGTTGTAACTATTTATTGACTGGAGTGCTTGAGTTGAATAGTCTTCAGAATGACCAAACCCATGAATTTACTAACTCTTGGTTTTGGTCCAGGAAATAATTGTGTTCGGTGGTCAAATATCTTTAAGTCACAATTTAATTGTTCTTCATAAAACGAAAGAGAATCATGTCATGAAATTTTTAGACGAACAGCATATTTCTAGATCTTGTGGAAGTGATTGTATGTAATGGTTACTATTGCCTATAAAAAGGATTCTCACTTGGTTAGTGAAAAGTAGATAGTTTAATTTATCACTAAATTTTAGTCACTACTTCTCGCTTATTATAAGTATTAAATGATTTTTGATTTCATATTTTCCTTTACTTTATTACTAGATATGTCTTAGAAATGTATGGGTCATTTAGTGGAATTAACCGTAAAATTCAGTTAAAATATCAACCACATGGAATTGGTAAAGAATCAAAGATTGGTTATTCAAGTGAGCTTTTGTGTTGGTTTTCTTGCATACCGCTTCATTAAAATGTGAACTTTGTTTCGCAATGGTGTTTATGCACTGCATATTTTCAAATCAGTCCGTATTGGTGTTTATTGAGTTAAAACATCCAAGTTTCAGCTTTTTTGTATGCATTTAAAGCTTACGTAACACGTACTAGTTTCAGCAACCGTTAATATCTCTAAATTTGGCGAAACTAGTACATCTCGATATTGCTACATAGTCACAATTTTTTTAGTAAGGTTTGATAGTCAGCTTCAACATTAGGATTTAAGTACATCCAGCTAGTGAGTCAAAAGTATGACGTAACGTGCATTCTTGATTGCGTTACTAGCCACTGTTCAACTTTTAAAAAATATCGGTATCCGCGTTCAACGAAACTAAGCAGCTCTGTTCAAAATATTTCACAAAAAACTGTTATTCATGATATTCAGCACTCTATTCTCATTTTTTCTTTCTATTGCAAATGAAACTTTATCAAAATTTTTTATTTATGAAGTGTTCATGCCTTTTGCATGTGATAGTCTTAAACCTGTTAGCGATCTAAAGTATCAATTTTGGTTAGACAGTCAGTCGAAATCAACATAGAACATATCCAAATTAAGATGTCACACTAGGACAGCGAGATGAAATTATCGAGATGAATACCAAAATACTGAAAGTAGTAAAATCAATTATAGTAGAATTGACTGACTATAAATAAGGTGATCCGGAAAAAAGAATTTGATTCACGGAGTAAAACGTAATAATTAATTTTCCATCTCAAAATTTGAAGAACGGATGCATCCCCACCATTGTGACCGATTCCGAGTAAGTGTTTTCCATTATCTTTAATCATCAATTATGATAATCCCAAAGGCTTTGTCTTGCTTTATCCAATTCTAGTTTTTCCAGTTTATTCCTACTCAGGGAAATCTTGTGCGTCGAGGAAAGCGATGTTTGGTTTAATTTAGATGGTTTTCCGTGATTTGATGAGATGAAATTCTGGATTGTTAAAATCAGTAGACGGAATGCTAATCGATTGATGAACGTAATGATATAATGTGGCCTAGTGATGGTTACTTTCGAGACCGTAGTATTGAATTAACCCACCAAATGATCGGAAATCCAATGCAAGACCAATAACCAGATGAATAGTTTCTCATGCAATAAAACGACTTACATACTGAATATGAACACAAAACAAACATGGCAAAATGTCATAGGGGGTTGGACGAAATAAGCCTATTGGTCACTTATTCTTTAATCAATATATACCTGACTGTTATGCCCAATGTTTGGGCATTGTATCAGCTGAGCTACATATATCCCAACCACTTCAGTTGGATATCCGCAACCTCATAAACTGGTTTGCCTAACCTCAAGGTTTCTCACTTAGTCGTTCCACGATTAGCAACCAATGCTTGAAAAACACCCTTTTCTACCAAATTATCTCGGCTAGGTTACATTTTCTTCAGACACATATAGGTGGAGAACGACGATCGTAAAAGTTAACACTAGTGTAATAAAATACTTTTAGAAGTGTTGATCGAGACTATAGGTATTACTTTCGTGATGCGATAACACGACCCGCTTGAACGGTTAGTAACCATAATTTGGATTTAATTTGTTGCCTGGTATTTAAAATCTTTTGAATTTAGAATTACTATTTTCGTCTTATTCATACATCGTTTCTTTTCTTATCTATTTAACTAATTAACTAATGTAGGCATAAGGTCTAGAGATCGATACAAATGACTAACCTTTTCTTCTGCGCAATACAATGAGTATACTAAAGTGACCTTTTTTGGTTTTCTATAAATTTCTGTGTTCACTTTTCAGTGAGTAATATAGTTAGGGTTATGTCATTGTGCAGAAATGGTTTTGGTGGATTGGGCTTCACATATATTTGGTTTAAAAGAAGTCCATTACTGATGTAATTAGTTTACGACAGTATTTCAATAGAACCGTGAATGTGAGTCAAAGTACTCATATCTACCGTGTCTGTTAAAAGTGGGTTATTGGGAAAAGTAACTATGCTTACTGTTGAGAAACGAGATCATATCGTGGTGACCATTATGTAGTACATGAAATCATTTTCATTGCCATGCAAATGAACAACCACATATATTGATCATTTGTCAGAAGTAAAACAAATTTCCAAAATCCTTGGATTTTGAATGGTCTTTTTTCAGGTAGTATTCCAATATCTTGTGACTGTACTGACGAATGTGACAACACCCAACCTTGCCTATTAGTTGTCGTGAAATGGGGTGGAGAATTAACAGCCGCAGGCAAGCAACAAGCAGAAACTCTAGGAAAAGCTTTTCGTTGCATTTACCCAGGTGGAGATGGCCACTATGGTAAAGATCCTGGTCTTGGGTTATTACGTTTACACAGTACTTATCGTCATGATTTGAAGATATATGCTTCTGACGAGGGTCGTGTCCAAATGACAGCTGCAGCTTTTGCCAAAGGTTTCTTGGCACTAGAAGGAGAATTACCACCAATCCTTGTTCAGATGGTCAAGTCAGCTAATACGAACGGTCTTTTAGATAATGATAACGATTGTCGTCACTATCAGCAGATGGTTAAACGTCGAATCAATGAAGTTATGTCAAAAAACAGTGATTTCACCGCTGAAGATATTGCTACTCTTGTTCCTACCGGCGCACGTTCTATAATTAATGCTATGCAGTATGTTAAAAGCCCGTATAGAGCATGTGGTCGCCTGTTTGAACATGTTCGTCTGTTATCTAATCGTCTTGCTTGGCTCTCACGAAGTTCCAAAGAACGCAGTCGAATACACTTGTATCAAGGTGAAAGTTGGGACCTATTGCTCAGACGTTGGGGAAAGCTATTAAAAGATTTTCGATCTCCTGAAGGAGAATATGATCTTTCTAAAATTTCAGATATATATGACAACATAAAATATGACTTGCAACATAATTCTGGCATTTTACTAGAATCTGAGGTGCAAGATTTCTTCATGTGTGCAAAGTCGCTAGCTGACATTATTGTCCCACAGGTAATTTGACATGCTTATAGCGATTATAATGATAAAACTAGTGATGTAATTTAAGTTCAAGCTTATATTATGTAGCGGCGATAGTTTGATTACAAATTACTTTAAATTTCCTCCCAGCTTTTACAGACTTGTATTTAATTTTGTATATATGAAAGAAATTTAGTAAATAAACGTAAGATCAAAAAGAAATCGTATTTAGTAGGACCTCAGTAAAATAAATCAAGAACTGCAGTTATGTATTTACTGTTGATCCATTGGTGTTTCTCCTTCCATGAATTTTACGTTCTGCTGAATAACTTTACTAACTTATGTTTGATAAAATATTAAAACTCTCATCTACCGATGCTTGTTGGGAAAAAGATATTTTTCGTAATATTTCAATAAAATGTATCGTTTAGTTGACATTCGAATTTGTAAATATAATTGGTTTTGGGATATCATTCTCAGTCAAAAACCATTGTCACTTAATCCCTAGGTGTGAGACTGCGAACAGAATAAAGCTAATGCTTTTTACTGCACCAAACAACAATTATCACTTTGATAGCAGTTTCTTCAAATCTTCTTATAAAGGATAAAGCAAGTACAAACAACGCATCTCTAAGTGCTCATTCACTGCTGAGATTGATGAAATTTGTCAATAACCATAATCATTTGCATTAAACAGTTTTAATATTATCTTTTTTGACTATTATTAGTTGAACCATGCGGAAACATCAGTGTTTCATATTGATTTCATTCCCTTTTTTGTTTTTCTAGAAATGTAATCTCTAAATGAACCATAGGCTATAATATGTCACTTTGTCTAAACAGAAAAGCCTTGTAATATAGAGCATCAAGAATAAGCTCATTTGCTTAGGTTGTTCCAGTTCTTGATAAGGCAAAAAATACTGTTAGCAATAAAGAGAACTTTTGATAAACTGTAAATTAAAAAGACCATGAGCAGATAAGGAAATATTGTTCACTCGTCAATTTGATCACACATATGATATGTTCTGATGACTTATATTCAGTTACAGTTATTCTTATATAGTCTACCATCAATGAATTAATCCCATAATTTTTGAGTATCATAGAACGGACTGTTGCACAATGTGTTCGTCCACAATCAAGGTTTAGATGTCGTCTCAATAGAATAAATGACAAAGGTTTATTTTCGTTGTTAGAAATAATTTATCGTGTTTCGTACAAAAGCGGACTTCATACCAGTTCTTTGAAATTTGAAATTCTTGACCAAACTAATATGAATTAATTGTGTTTTGTGACTATCACTGTTATTGTCTTAATTACATAGTCATTCTGATGAGATTGCTGTGATAAGTACTCTTGATGTTACCTTATTCAATACCATTTTTGTGTTTGTCTTCTACCGTTTGTCACATTCCAGAAAAAATGTTTATACTTTCTGCTTTCCTTATCTTTAGGAATATGGTATAACAAAAGAAGAAAAACTAGTAATAGGTCAACGTATTTGTACTCCACTTATGCGAAAAATTTTATCAGATGCTCGTTATACAGATGTAGATGAGTGTACACGGCTGCATGCTGGGTGAGTAGTATTCTTCATTATCTATTGGTTTTTTGGTGCATTTAGTAACGTTGTAACGTCTGAATAATATCATATTTAAACATTTTTATATCTTTAATATAATTTGAATGAAATGATGATTTTAAGGCTTGACCTTATTCTCACTTCTATAAATAATGATAGACTTTATGAGCGTCCTATATAATTATGTGAAGCTATGACGCACTGATGCAAAATGTCAATGATAAACAGTTTTTGATTCTCTTCCACTTTAACAATAGATTTACTAGTTAGAAACTAATAATAGTCGTATTAAGAATAACGTATTTAGAAAAACTCTAATGAGTGGAGAATTGAATTACTGACATTTCGTAACTTCGTGCGTGTCCCTTTTTTAAAGAAGTAAATGAAATTAATTAACAAAAGTTTCGGTGATACAAAGAATATAAAACACACAAGTTTTAGTATAATCAAAATAGATCTGATCATGTCAATATCACGTTATTTCGAACAAAGTGATTCTGTATGAGACCTACTTATTTGTAGGTTAGTGTATGTGAAAAAAATATTTCTAATGTAAAAGAGTAAAGAACATTTGCTCCTGATACGAGATATGAATAGAAATGATTATTTGGATATTTGAATAAATGGTTTATTTTGAATGAATCTTCAGGCCTTCCTGACTATGGAGCGCAGGAGGGTTGACTGATATACTTAACAAATACATTATGGGGCATTTTTATTTTATTATCTTAGACACTGTGAAAAGTTACTAACATAAAATTGGGATTAATTAAGGCTAGTTGAATCCTATTTTAAATCTACATAACTTAAGCCTGGACGAGAAATTAAATGAGTGACTCAAAATAAATGTGATTCAAAAACACTTGTTAATGTTCCGATAAGTGTTTACTTCCTTTTAAACTTAATAGTCCAAAATGTTTTTAAGAAAATAAGTTCTGTAAGAAATGATCTTTAATGCCCATTTTATTAACTAATGAATACACCCAGAGACATGTATATGTAAAAGAAAGTTGAATCAACCGTTTAGATATGCTAACACGAAAAATTGAATGTCCTTTAAATAAGTGTAGTAAGATATCACTATTTTCTAATTTCTTTCCTCCTCTAAATCATTCATTTTATTGGAGTGAACTTCTGTAAATCTCTTTCTTGGTTATATCAGTTTTGTTTAGTTTCTGTTCATTATAATTAGAGTTGTATGGTCTGTGAAAACTGTGTGATTGGAGAAAACGTTTTGTTTTGCTAATGAACTTACTTATTTATTATTATTTATCATTCTAAGATATAGTTCAAAAGTATTTTGATTACATTCATGGTGCACACTAAACTGCCTGTTAAAAATACGATATTTATCGGGTATATATTGCTGGTACTATGGGCACATCAGAATGATGCATGTACTCAAAAATCCCAAATAGTTTAGTTTGAAAACTCGGTATGCTCTTTTAATTTTTATTACGCAAGACATTGTTATTATTATTATTATTATTATTATTATTATTTTTATTATTATTATTATTATTATTATTATTATTATTATTATTATTATTTTGTAACTTCAGTCTCTTCAATTGATAATTACTGGGTTGATAGATTTTCGGGTTTCATTTAAATACCCAAACCAGAGTGAGGGTTGCTTGTTTAAAAACTTCCTGTCACATTGCACATAAGCATAAAGACCACTCCCATCAAAAAGATATTACTAATAGTGATAATAATAATACTTTAAAGATTTCATGACATTTTGCAGGAATGGTTGTGCTGATATAATAAAGCTTCGATATGTTTATCTATCTCTTTTCTGTGGTTCTTTATAAGAATATATTTTAGCCAGTGCTATATTTTCAATCAATAAATCTCTAACAATAAAGAGTTGAAACCAACTATTTGTTTACTTGAGTTATCTGAAAAAGTTTTGTAGGTGAGCGATGTGAGCCTTTCATAATCAAGGGATATGATGAGTGACGATTATGTAAGCTTTCCATTTTTGTTTAGCCGTTTAAGAAAATCTTACATATACTAGATAATTCGTGTGTATTGAACTGTCGTTTTGCTTCTGCTACATAAGTACACTTGGAATTGTGGAACTAATGTGGTTTAAATACAACATATTGATCCAGCGCATTGCTGTAAAGGAAATAGAAAAATCGAGAAACACGGGCAAAGGAGATATTATTCGTGATTATTTTAAGGTGTATACATATGCAAAAGCTCTCGTCATTACTTTTGTTACTGTAGTGTGATATTTGGCTAGTAAAATGCTGTATGTTCTTTTGGAAATTTAGGGAGGTGACTATGCTCACGCATGATGATGAGGTAGTTACATATATTAAGAGTTTTAGCGCATTAAGATTGTGATTAAGCAACTGAACAAATGAATGAAAGTTACTCGTCAATCTTGCTTCCAGCGGTAGACTATTTTATGTCTGAACGTACTTAATCAAGAAAAGTCCCCGTCCTGTATTTTTCCATTTCAGTTGTAGATATTTTATTTCCCGAGTCATGCTCAGGTGTGTTTAAACAAGAACTGTTAGTTTTCGATTCAGTTTATGAGACAGAATTATTTTTGTCGTAAACCATAGGAGTTTGAGTTTTAGGATATCACACCTCGATATATAGTCAGTTACTGTGTCAGTTTTAGGTACTTTCCAAGTGAAATATCATAGAACTCCTTCTACTGTTAGTTTATCAGATAGACATGAGTTGATGAAAATAGAAAAACCGGTATTCAAGGATAAACCTTACACAGGTCTTGTCCAGAAAGTCTAGAATTTTTCCCAAAGAAATTTCGCTAGATGAAACTTAGTAATATCCGTAATTTCGATACTTTAGTAGATTTATGTTCGGAGACGTTTAGACCAAAAAGGTAATTAAGTCCTAGGCCAGTTGAAAACAATTTTTTATTTAGGTAAATGTGATGTAAGATAAAGATCAATGACGGTTGAATTAGAAACTGATTATCATACAATTCTACCTTTAAAAAATTCTCCTGTTTAATTGAACATTTACATTATAACTTTTGCATAACAATCTGTTTAATGTTTATCTTCTCTATTGACAACTGTCAATACAGTATTCTGTAGATTATTTGTTTGGAAATAACATGTTATTCATTTATGATCTGAGCCTAGGCAAAAGTCAACCGCTCTTAATATTACCTTTCTTCATTAAGCAGCTTAAATGTTATATTTCCAAGTCTCGATTTGCAAACTACCTATTTTCAGTTTTATTCCTCATCATCCAGCTTAGTTAATGACCAGCGTACTAAATGTCATATTTCAGAAAATATAAACATGCTTACTGATACATTTGATGGCATTGAAAATAAATCATTTTCGTGCTTTTACCGATTCCTGTACTCTACCGTATACTATTGTAAGATATCATTAATTTGTTTGTATATATGTATTGTGATTATTTTTATTGTCCTTTACTATTTTCGGACAGATTGCATACCTAAACAACTTTACGTTCCGATAGTTTTTGTTATTTGTTTGGTTATTATAAACCTTTTCTCTCTCATTACTAAATTCTGCTATCTCAGTTACAGAGTACTATTTGTATACACTATTTCAGTTATTTTTTATCTTAGTAAATATGAAGCAGTATACCTTGACAATAAATAAATGTAACCATTAAGTTGTCGAAATTTTATTTTTCCTAAGTAACTTAGTGTTTTTCACAACAGTGTATGTGATCTTATGCTGTTGAAACCATTGTTGTTCGATGTTTAAGGGCTTGTCTGTAATTAATTGAGTCATTTTTATAAATAATTTGCGTGTTGTATATCGTTTGTTTTAACTATTTTATTATCTGTATCAGCGTACTCAACATGCACCTTTCAGTAATGCCATTCTGTTTAACTATTTCACCCTATGTTTACTGTTGATGGTGCCAGTAATAAATAATTGCAGATGTATCGCATCTTCTGTCGTCTTTGATATCACTAAAACTTCACAAATCAGCTTGTTTACTGAAATTATTTCAACTTTTTTAAATATCAATCACTTATTGATAAGTTGGCATAGTTTTTTATTCATATGGTGTGATATGGCTTTTTATAAACTATTTAATTTATTAGCTTTTGTCTTATATAATTGTTAATAGTGTCTCCATTGGTATTTTATACACTTTGGTTCCAGGTAGACATGATGTTTTAATTTGGTTTAGCGAGAGTGAACTATTAAATATGAGCTCTTGTTAATGGTTTCTATGCAGACTCTATATCCCCGAGACCTTTACTGTTTGATTTCAAGCAATCATGTTTTTATGTGCAATGTTGTTTCCAAGTAGAATACCCTTCTTATCTGAGAATTGAAAATTTTAACCTCAATAGGATATTTTTCTAGTATTATTATTTTAGGCTTTACTATGTGGTGTTTAATTTCGCTTTCCATAAGTTGTTATATTTCTATACTACCTCATCTTGTTTAACCATGCCTTTAAAACTAATCATATTGCTAGTTGACTGTGGAGTTGTCGATATACATCTTACACATGATTTGATCTAGGTGGTTTTATGGATCGATATCTAGTTTTTCAACAGTTACTATAGTTTACAAATTTAATTATGAGGATTCTAGTCATGAAGAAACCTGCTTACATCGGCTGTTTTGATATTCAGGCTCATTTCATACTTTTTTTCTGTTATTTTCGTGCTCCGAATTCATAAGTTTTGAGTGAAACTAATCCGAATTCATTTACCAAGCTACAGCAGTTTAGGCTACCGGTTTTGAGTCACAATTTACATGTAAGGATCGGCTATAATCCCAGGCTCTCCAAAGCCATGCGGTTTAATGGAAGCTCAAACATGCTACTCAAAAGTAAATGATTTCACCACATATCACAGCTCCATTTAATTCTCGAGTGATATATTTGCACTAGACGGTAAAGTATGAATGTTCGGTTATTAAAAACTGACTTAACAAATAAGTGTCATTTGTTTAACTTCCTATTTAATATTTCTTGGAATTCTAACTGACTAAAAACCATAAATATTACACTTTCCCATCATATTAGTTACCCATATTTTAACTGGACTGGTTGTTTATTGTCTTTAATGATGGTTCAACACATTGTGAGACGGGTATGACAGGATAAACATGACGTTTCCTTTATTCCCATGAATCTAAAACTCTTTTGATTATTAGAGCATTTTATGTACTAATGCTTATCCATGTATATCGTTTTTGACTGAAAGCAGCGGTTTGTATGCTATCGTTGTATTTAACTTCTGGTGGGTCTCGGCATTCTATTATTGGGTTTGATCAATACTGTACCCTGTGGACTGGTTAAAGTCACTAACAGATGTTCATCACAAACCCTAGGACGACTTATGATAACTACCACGATAAAGCTTGTGTTATTGGGATCACTATGAACAAATTTACCACTGGAATTTTCAGATCTCTGCTCCATCTTTTCAGATATATTAGTGTTTATCAATACTAACTCTTTAAGTTGCCAATGACCGGTTTTAGGCATAGACGATTGGTGGAGTTGAGGGTGCACACTCCTGACGACTCCCATTTTAAGAAGAGCTGACTAATGGCTCTTTGTCTTCAATGGTTGTTTAGCTGAATCCAGTTATGATTTGGAAATGCAAATCCAACACACTCTGACCACTCCTGTGCTACAAATTAGTTGATCAATTTCATAGGTTTTTTACAGACAGACCTTGATTAGCACTAGGACTTCATTGCCGTAACATCAGTTATCATAACGAAATGTATGCATGGTTGGCTATTTCGTTCCGAATCTCTTTTGTCACTCACTTCCACTTTTTTTTAAATTCTCATGCATCATATCACCCCTTTTTTTGCTTTACTTCACCTATCTATTTCTAGCCATCGCCCAAATCACAGTGAACCTTGTCCCGATTGGTGGGTCTGATTATATAATCTCTCCATAACTTTTAAAAGATTTTTGTTTCGACCTTGTCGTGTTTATAATAGCATGTTTTAGTTTTTGCCACTTTTCTTTTTATTTGATTAACAATGGCCTATCGAGGCATTACTTAACTTAATCGAGTTAGCCTAATTATTCAACTGTGTTTTTATATGTGCACCAATTAAATGAAATATTTTGTATTTATTTACTGCACAAACACATATTTAGGTATATGTGTATGTATTGTTGTTTCTTATCCGTTGTATACATACGCATGCATATGTGTGGGAATCTTAATTGTTTCATCGTTTTTGGTTCCAATTTTTTATTGAAACAAGCTTCACGATATTATGTCGATGACACTTCCACTATGAGCTTTATTGATAAGTATAATAAGTGTTACTTTTAGCTGCATGTTTGGTCGAGATTGTACTTCAATTATTTCATATAAGCCATGTTTGCAAAATTATTAACTTTATCATATAGTGAATAAAAATTATAATATTCATTTTTTATAGGTTACGAATTAGTTTTCTTCAGTTTTAATTCTTTATAAGGTAGCAGTTATGACTCCTTAAGTACATCTACCTTAAACAATCTGTTTAAATTTATTTATCGTATGATAAACATTAATAACTAGTAAGTAGTAAAATTGCTAAATAAATACATCAATATGTTTAGATTTGGTTCAATTTGTGCTTTCCAGTTCATTGATTGAAGTTGTCTGTTTATTGTCTCTATATTCTAACCTGATTGCCACGATGTAGTTGAATGTAAATATATAAAAAGTGCTATCCATAATATATTCAAATAATAATATCCTATTTATCAAATATCCAACTACTTTTATATCTCATACAGTTTACTGATAGTATATCAAAGAGATCAATATATAGCCAAGATATAAAAATAACATCGGTTTTGCAGTGGCTGTCTTAATCTACTTAATTCTTTAGACTGTCAATAGTTTAGAAATATATATCATACTAAATATAAGTTAACCAGTTGACTAATAGACTAAAATGTATATTCCATTTTTGTCTCTTAAAAACAAACGATCGCTTCGATGATTATTATTTAGCTTCTTCCTTATTCATAATTCTTTAAAGTTTTTTGTTGTCATTTTCTTTAACATAGTGTAGTTGTTTGAATTAATGGTTAATGTTATATTGTTTGTTGATCGTTCAGTCGATCATTTGGAATTAGAAGACTGTAGTCTCACTCCTTTGTATCATGAATACTTTATTTTAAAAACTGCACTGTAAATATAACACAAAAAATAATTCAAATTACGTCGCTATTACTTTTAGTTTAGTCAATCATGTTAAACTTCAAGCTAATAACTTTCAAGTGATCCTAATAATGTGAATTTTATTTTCAACTTATTTAATTAATTTGAACTATGAATTAACATAAGATGAACGAATTGTTATTGTAATTGCAATATATTTTGCACAAGTGAAGTTTAGGTAAAAAACATCGACTTGTCTGTTGGTAATAAAGTATTCAAGATAACCATAAAGAACTGATTCCCTTAATGATTTTGGATAAATTGGTATTTAGAATTGTTATAACTGACGTAGATTAAAGGAATGGTAACTTTCGGGAGTAATTTATGGGATATATATATATATATATACCTTTTATCATGAACTTTGGACTAACCTATTAACTACTGTTGTATGGTTTACTATTCTTATTCTGTTGCCATTTTACTATTCAGCCTGCTCTACTCATAGCCCTTTTTGGGCTTGATCATGTTTAATTGTCGTTTTTAATTTATGTTATGATGTGGGCAGATGTGTCTGTATACAAACTATGTATACCTGAGATATAACATTCTCATAGTGTAGGCTGATTACTATTTTCTGGACTCAACGGGATTACTTTAAAGGACTAAGTAGTTGTCAGATTACATTCAGCTGATCAATTTTATCTCTTTATTCTGAAGGTTTTTTTATCACCAGCACGCTGATTAATTCTGTGTATTTCCTAAGAATATGTTCGTAGTTGCCCCGATCATATTTTGACTTGTTAAAGGCAAACCTCAGTTGACTTAATAACTACTTTAAAAAAACTTATATAAGTTAATATCATCGTAAAGACTTTATATTCATTTATGTTACGTACTCCTAAAAATAAAATATTAATCTTAATTGGACGTGAGTGATTTTTGAGATTATATTGTATATTTATATGAGTAAGTTACGTCTCCATGTACTTACGAATCTATTTAAACAAGAGTTGACGGTGTCGTATCGGTTAAGCCCATATACCTTATTCTAGCTTTCGGACAGGCCAGTCTATTCATTCTACTTGAGTCACATTTTGACCTTGTTAATTATTCTCTTATCAATCTTGACTGTTTATCTGAGAGCATGTGTGTACCCTTCCTATTCCATTCATCACATGTCTGTAGCTTAATTTTGTGTGATTGTAAATATTAATTAACGCTTGGTTAAAGGGAGTTGGCTAACGAGCCATCTCCACTTCGCGTCATTTCGTTTCACTCTTCTTCTCTACGTCTCTCTGTTATCTGTTCCGACCAACGTCTGTACAAAATATATGTCTTGGGAAATCCGTTCTCGTATTTGACTTATTTATTTCCGTTATTCACTAACGTGACCTAAGTCGATAACTATATACGAGGACAGGGGACATATATCTCAATATCATTCATACGACCAAACTGGAGTCAGATTTAGGGCCACTAACACGGAATTCTATGTGTTAATTTTTTTCTCCTTATAATGATAATTGATTGATTTGTTTTTTTTTCAAGAATATATTGTATTATTATTGAACTCGGTTGAAAAAAATTGTTTATATCTATTAATAATTTCTCTAATTTTGCCCATAGTCTATTTTTGATGTTTCATTCATAATTATTCACTTACATAAAATGCAATGGAATGGTTTATATCTTGTTATTTAGGTATAAGTTATGTGGCGCATATATATTGGCGCTCTCCTGTACCAATATTCATGTGTCCAAATAAAATAAAATAAAATAATAGGTATAAGTTAAAGAAAAACAGTGAATTCTTATTCAGTATGCGTGAGATTGTACACTGTAATCTTCTAACTGTTTTATATCATTACAAATATCTTAGATTCTTGGGTTAATAATTTACTCAATATATATTTTTGTCATTTCTGTGTAATTTTTTTACAATTCTTATAGATTACTGGGACTAATTATAAAAATATTACTAGATGTATTATATATATTTAGACATAGGCTATGTAAGCCAAAATCTGTTGTATGAATTAACGGTTTGATTTAGCAGATATAAAACACTAGATTTCAAACTATTCAGTAGCAAGTTTAAGCTCTTTTTATATTTTAAATCATTCTACGAACTAATTGATACAAGCTGTTCTTATTGAGTAAACTAAAAAAAGAGACTAGAACATGAGTTTACACATGGTTGTCAAGTTTTTTTTCTCAATTGTTTTCTAACAATATCAAACATTTTTTCCCAAAAAGAATATTCATTTATTGTAACTATTTCTTTGTAAAATAAAAAGACTATTTTATGCTGCCGTCTAATTCACTTTTTTGTGTTATGTGTTGTACAATACTTTTTTCCAGTTATTCAAAAGGAGTTGCTTCACCTGAACGATTTGTTCGTAGTCGCTTGTATTTCACTAGTGAAAGTCATATTCATTCATTACTTACTTGTCTAAGATATGGTGAATTAGCAGACATTGTAACAGATGAACAATGGAGACGTGCTATGGAGTATGTGTCGTCTATTTCTGAAATTAATTATCTTGCTCAAATTGTAATTATGATTTATGAAGATCCTACTGTGGTTAGTTTCCGCGGTATATATTGCATTACTTTTCTAATATTGTATTTTGTCGTTTTGTTAGTGTTATTAAACCCTGACGTATTCAACAGTTTTTTTGGAAGTGTTCATCGATTATGGAATAGTGATGGGTACTTTTCTAAATCAGTACTATGCATTTTTTTAACACTTTATTTATTATATGAAGTATATAGTATGGGATGTGCTTAGCTTAACCGATTTCGGCCTTACGTAAGTTGTACATTACATTACCTTTATTAAAATATGAAACAACTATCAGGCTTCATAATGCAGGAGCAATATTCCCTTAAAATCTGCTTATTACGTGCCGATTACGTCCAACTAACTAACTTCAAAATATGTCAAAGGTCATGGTTCTTATGCTATTATATTTATGAGATATTGTTTACCTTTTGCTTGATTTCTATCTCAAGATTTCGTTTATACTAACAATACACTAACCAATCCTAAACCAAATAATAAGCGTAACTACATTGAGTGCTGTAGTTGATGTGTATATAACGGAAAGTGGTTACCACTTTCCAGTTACCCACATTGTAAACAAATGTTTCTTCATGAGAGCCTGAAAAACAACTGGGAATTCTGAAGTATGAGTTTAGGATTAGGGTGAATATAAGAAGTATGTTTTTTATGAATTATCTTACACAAAAGCTTATTTACATATAATAATCATTATCTATCGTCTCAATCTCGCTTAATAATTCTAAATTATCACCATTTGTTTGTCTAATTCAACCTTTTAAAAATGTAACTAGTTTTTATAAAATTTTGTCACATGTTTTTCAGATATATTTTAATAAGCATCATCCCTCATTTAAACACTATGATTATTTAGATTAAGTGAAATGAATACTGTGTACTTCCTTGTTAAATAACACTTCTTCGTATCTTGTCTATGCCAAGCATTTATTTCTAATCAAATAAACAGTTTAATATTAAACTATACATAAAATTTTATTTTTACATTAATCATTAATTGGGTCTGGTCATCATGCAGAAAATTTATCTATAGTAAATATTAAGAAATCCGTTAAAACAAACATTTTATTCATTGAAAACGCGAAATGTTTTCCTAATTTCCTCTCCAACTGGAAGTTGATTTCTCCTCTCCCACAGCCTGTTGCTGATAGTATCCGACCAACGGACATTGAGTATCTTTCGTAGACAGTTGTTTATAAATACCTGTACTTTTGATGATGGTTGTAGTAGTTCTCGAAGTTTTAGCTCCGTACAGTAGAACTGTTCTGACGTTCGCATTGAAGATTCTGTGGTTGATATTGGTTGACAGTTGTTTTGAGTCCCATATGTTTTTCAGTTGTGGGAATGTTGCCCTAGCTTTGTCGACCCTCTTCTTTACGTCTGCATCAGATCCTCCTTGTTCATCGATGATGCTGTTCAGGTACATCAGAGTCTCCACATCTTCCAGAGATTTTCGTTCAAGTGTGATTGGGTTGATGTCTTCTGTGCTGTATTTGAGGATCTTGCTTTTCCTTTGTGTATGTTGAGGTCTACTGATGCAGAGGCTTTTGCCACACTAGTTGTCTTGAGTTGTATTTTTCCGTGTATATGGGATAGAATGACCAGGTCATCTGCGAAGTCCGAATCTTCTAATTGATTCTGAGCTGTCTATTGTATTCAGTGCATTCCCTCAGATGTCGAGGTCCACCAGAAGGGGGGATTAGGCAACCGTGTCTGACTCTGATCCTTATTTAGAATGAACCTGTCAGCATTGTAGTCCTTCGTCAGTCAGTCAGTCAGCTACAACGTAGGACCAGGATCAGTCCGTCGTATGAGTTCCGGATTATGTTGGCGATTTTCTCAGGTACTCTATAGTGTCGAAGAAGTTTCCATAATGTTCTATCCACACTGTCAGACGCCTTCTCATATTCAATCAAGTTGAGGTATAGTAACGAGTTCCACACAACTGATTATTCAACAATGATCTGTAACGTTGCGATTTGGTCTGTGCACGACTGATCCTTACAGAATCCAGCCTGGTGATCTCGATGTTGGGTGTCTACTGAATCTTTCATCTGGTTCAGCAACACTGTTGAAAACGTTTCCTGGTACTGACAGTAGTGTGACACCTCTGTAGTTTCCACATTCACTCAGATATACTTTCTTTAGAATCTTGATGAGCTGTCCTTCTTTCCAGTCCATCGGCACGTGTTCTTCCTCCCAAATCTTCCTGAATAGAAAGCGGAGCATGTTTGCAGTTGCTTCTGTGTTTGACTTCAAGGCTTCATCTGGTATATTGTGAAATCCAGGTGCTTTCTCGTTCTTGATTTGTCTTATGGCACTCTGGATTTCTGTCTGTGTGCTGCTTCGATGTCCAGTGGATTTAATGGGGTTGGCCCATTCAAGAGTTCCCCCAGTGTTCCACCATCTGTACATCTGTTCTTAAATCTCAGTGATTGGCCTGCCTTCTTTGTCTTTGACCGGTCTCTCTGGTTTACTATATCTCCCTGCTAGTTTCTTCGTTGTATCATACAGCTGTTTCATATTTCCTTCTCTTGCAGCTTTTTCCGCCGTCATTGCTAGTTCTTCCACGTATTTCTTCTTGTCGGCTCTAATGCTCTTCTTCACTTTCTTGTCTGCTTTTATGTACTCAGTTTGTGCCTTGACTTTCTCTGCTCGTGTTCGGCTGTTGTTAATTGCTGTCTTCTTGTTCTTCCTTTCTTTGATCTTGTCCAGTGTTTCTATAGAGATTCATTCCTTATGATGATGCTTGTTGAGGCCCAAAACCTCTTGACACGTTGAAGTTAATGCTTCTTTGATACCTTTCCAGTTGTCCTCCATAGTCGTTTCTTCTTCCTTCAGTAGATCTTGTAAGGCTTGGAACCTGTTGTTGAGAGCTATCTTGAATTCATTGAGTCTGTCAGTATCTCGAAGGAAGGCTGTATCGAAGCTTTGTATTGCTGTTTGTCCAGTTGTCCAGTACTTCTTTAGCTGCATTTTTAAATTGGCCACAACTAGGTGGTGATCTGAAGCTATGTCAGCTCCTCTCCTGGTTCTCACATCTTCCATTGTCCTTCGGAATTATTTATGGTTACAAATGTGATCTTTCTGGTTCTCTGTGGTGTGGTCCGGTGGGTTCCATGTAGCTTTATGTATACGTTTGTGTGGAAATATTGTGCCTCCTATGACCAATTTGTTGAATGCACTCGGAGTTGCAAATCTTCCCCGATTTTCGTTTCTCCTAGTCCATGTCGTCTCATGATATCTTCATATCCGGTGTTGTCCATTCCGACTTCGGCGTATAGGTCTCCTATCAGAATGGTGAGATCCTTTTTTGGGCACTTCGCTATGATTCATTGCATCCTCTCATGGAACTTATTCTTGTTGTCTTCTTTGCTATCATTTGTGGGTACATAACACTGGATAACATTCATTGTAATTCCCTTCTTCTTCGTTTTTGAAGAAGCTCGTGAGCCCATAAGATTCCCGCCCAATAAGTGCATTGCATGCTTGTTTAAACAACAACAAATCAAGCCCGTGAGTGTGTGGAGCATTTTCCTTTTCGTGATCGGAGTACAGCAGCATATCTCAAGTTTCTAGCCTTTGTTGTCCAGCTTGGGTCCAATGGGTTTCGCTGATTCCCAGTACTGCCAAGTTGTATCCCCTCATTTTCGTTGCTATTTGGCTGATTTTCCTGGTCTCCCACATTGTCCGAAAGTTCAATGCACCTGTGAAAATTATTGCTCTGATTTTTTGAAGAGTCATCGGCCTCATGACTTCCGAAGAATCTTGGCTTTCTTCCTGAGGCGTCATATTTCCTCCTTCAGTCCCCAGGATAGAGTTTAAATGGTTTATTTTGTTTAGTCTGGTTAGCCTATTTTTAGCAAGATTTTTTTTCTACATGGTGGATTTGCCGACCCATATCCAACCCTACTCGTTTACCCAGGCTTGGGACCGGCAGTATCTGTAGTAGAGTTACAGGTGGAGTTATGATCTAAACATGATTGACAATTATTATGGTAATTTTCGTCAAATATCAATGTTTAAATTCATAACTGTGAAACGTTTCCATGAATGATGAACTATAGACCAATGAGAATTGTACTTGACGTAATATTCGTGCCATTTTGTTTCATCGATATGTTGGTTAGCAAGAATAACTCGCATGTTATATCCCTCAGTACGACGTTAAGCTGTATCATTTGGAGTCTTCGTATACTATGGAAAAACTTTATCACTTAAATTGCAAGTGGTAAAGGGTTTATCCTCATTCCGACATTTAATGATACCACTTGAACAGTCGTAAATGCTTCGTCCATGTTTCATTTGTTTTTCTTTAAAAAAACACATCTAAACCAGTCAAACCGGTGGCAGTTTTTAGATTAATCTTCTGTGTTTTCGGACATTTGCATTAACAATAAACACTTTTTTTTATAAATTATTTCAAACCGTAGGAACCGAAAACTGAAAAACGATTCCATGTTGAATTACACTTTAGTCCTGGTGCTTTTGCATTATGTCATGATCTCCCTGAAGGGAGTGGTTTTCGATCGGGAAAATTGGTGGTAGGTTTTTATTATTTACCTCACATATGATTTATCGCTAGACCTTTTGAAAGAAAAAACGTTTTTCTTTGCATTTTATAACAGATTTTCTTAAATAATGCAAAAAAAATATTGCTCGCTACCTGTGCACAGAGTGTACGTCTTATGAAAACCTTATAAAGGATCAAGTCTGGCATAAGTTAATGCTGAAAATATTCTCAGTTTAAGATTACTATGTGAAGACATTTTGGTGATACTGAGGCTTTTTAGTTTAGATATCTGTTTCTTGTTTTCAAATGAGTGACTGATATAAAATAATGTGTAGATTTGAGGTCATGTATCTAATTTCCATAAAGTCACCTCTTGAAAACTGTTGGCTGTTTGTAGTTGCCTATTATTTTATACTAAGCAGTTGAGGGATTTCAGTTTAGGATCCTGCTTCGGTCTGAGTACCCGGGCATTATCACAGCCCACACACAAATCAAGTGACTTGTGTGGCGCATATGTATTCGGTGCACCTTTTTAGCAATATTTATGTGTTCAAATAATAATATGTAACAAATAATTCAGTTTGGGATAACCTATATGATATCCCAGTATCTGAATATCTTTCAACAAAAGTTATGTTCTATGATTGATGCATCTTTAGTATGCTCCATTATATTAGTCCATTGTTCTTCATCATAAATAAAATTCAACACCTTTCAATACATTCAGTATGAATTTATTCATTACAATAGTAAGTCGTCGATCATTTTTTGTTTGATGAGTATTATGCATAATTTTTTGTTGAAGATGATAAGTTCAGGGTTTGAGATTAACAACTAACACATTCCCTGTGAGAGAAAACGTTTTTGTCTCATTATGACACTAACCTGCTCCGACGAAATGATTTTATCAACCAATTCTTGATATCGAAATATCATCGACTTATTGTTAGATTATTTATCTATAATCGGTGATGATTAGGATTTGGTGAATAGGAAATTTCAAAGTGAAAACACTAATCATCATAATATATTTCTTAGGAAAAGGTAGTTGTTATATATTAAACTCTTGTTATATTAATGTTTCATCATCCGTATCTTGATAAGTGGTATTTCCTAGCTTTCTCACCTATTCTGCATAACAAAACGTTATCATCATATTTTGTTTGCTGAGGCCGTTGTTTTTTCATGCATTTATTAAGTAGTCTAATTCTCATTATAACTTCAACTATATGCTGGACTGTGTATACCCTAGTTTGTAAAAAATGAAGTTTGTTTCTTGTATAGTTTCACTTTGTTTTAGAGGTTATGCATTTGTTATTGCTTACCATATTAAACAAATAAATATTGTATATCACAGTCAGTTTTTATTGTCTCATAAAACTATCCCCATTTTTTCATCTCATCCTGATTTTATTTCCTTCCTCATCACTATCATATGGACACTGACGGGTTTTACGTACGTTCATAAATTTACAACCTAAAAATGGGTAATTTTTGCTCAAAAATGTTTTAATATGAAATTCGGCATTGTGTTTTGCTTCCTTTATTTCTCTGATTCATATCATATATATGTCTGCGTAAACATTATGTATAATTGTTTAATTTTTTACTTTTGTTTGTGTGCACGGGTTTATGCATGTGTACTCATCTGTGTTGCTCTTCACGCTTACTTTGTATATCACTGTTTTATTATTTCGCTTTATTGCTTGCTATGTTTCATTCTTGCATCTTTGTATGTATGTATTTCGGATGATGAACATCTTTCATATACTACATACTAATAAATAAATAGCGTCTGAATTCTCAAATGAGTGTAATGAGTAGCGGTACATCTGTGGATAAAGGAAGTTCCGACTCAATGCCGCAATCAGTAATCCCTTCTGTTACACCTATTGTTCCTGCTAGTGAACAAGACAGGAAAGATCTGTTTGATAAATATAGTGGTAGACAAACAGATCGAAGTAGTGAATATCACCAGAATCTTGGGTCATTTGACTCGAGTGAATGTTCATTCTCGGGATCTTCCGCTAACGACAAAGCTTCAGGTAAATCTTCAACAATGGTATCAAAAAAACTTGATTCTTTAGATTTGTTTCGTTGGAGTTTTGATAGTGATAGGAATACGTATGAATTATGTAAGAATCAAACAGAGACTTTTAATGATTCATCTCTTATCGAGCAATGTCCGGTTCGCAGGTCACATAGTGTTCGTTGTAACCTCGCTTCAAATGTTTCTCGAGAAAACACTGTTAATCACGAAGAAACTTTGATTGTCAACCACAGATCGCAATCTCAAGGTCGTCCTTCTGTTTTGCCATTATCACCTGTACCATCAACCTCTACGCTAGAATTAATTGGGACTCCTACAGCGTCAAATACAGAAGTTGGTATTGGACGATTTACTGTCACGCGGTTCACTGATAATAAAAGTAGTTTGGGTTCAACTTTTCCAAATGAATCGAAAACTGATAAATTATTGTCGACATTACCGTATACAAATAAACTAAAAACATATCACCTCAAACATTTTTCACGTTCGAATTTCTGCCAAAATTCTGCCCGTAATAGGTCTAGTTCATGTCATCCTGATGTTTACAGAAGGACAAATTTAGCTACAACCCTATCATCAAAACCTAGATATTCATGTATTTCAAAATTACTTCAAACGACAGGTAAGCTTACTGATTTTGGCGACTTTAAGAAATATGATTATAATGAAAAACTGTCTTTTGAATGTTCCTGTTCAAATACTAATTCGTCACGTTTCGCTCCTGTAATTCAATGGCTTTCAAAGCAGTCAGAACACTTAGTGAAATCAGATGAAAAATGTGACAATGGGGATCACAAATCAAATCCAATCAACATAGAAGACAAGGTAAGAAATAAATGATATTTACTGGTTTATATCGAGAGATGAGTTATTAGTTCGTTTTATATGGAAATATTTTAATATATATATTTGTTAAACAGTTTGAACATCCTGAAAATCTTGACTTACGTAGTTTAAATCATACTATTCAAAGCTGGATATAGTATGATTGAAATTATTCGTAAAAGTTAATTCTCAGTGTCATAGTGAACTACTTATTTTAAAACATGATTATTATTATCAATGAAAAAGTTTTATCCTAATAAACTTAAATGTCAAAGGATTAGAAATATTGTCGCGTCAACAAAAGTGTCATGAATAATTTATGACGACTAACTTTTTGATGCAAATATTTTATAAACAGATATTTCACTTAATTGTAAATTTTCTGATATAATGATAAAGATTTTTTCTGAGAATAAAATTTATCGTCCTATTGTGGGACTCCTCAGCAGTGCGCATTCACGACTGCTGAGGAGTCCCACAATAGGACGAAACGGCCGTCCAGTGCTTCCAGGTTTTCCACGGTGGTCTAGCTTCAACTGACTCATGATCTTAACCATTGAAATTACTACAATCTCCGCAAAACCCATCTGATATTAATAAAATTTATATCAATATTCGTTTGATATGTGATTCATACATTATAATATACTTGTCTTATTAAAATTCCACTAATGATTCTACTTTTCATTCTCTCACTTTCAGTTTATATCTACTTATATTTTTATATTGAAACCTTGAATTTATATATCGGATTATTTTATACTTTTGTCTCCTCGCCCGTCGTAATCAAAGTATCTATTTATGCTTGGTGGCAAAATTTCGTACATCCATTCAATAAATTGTTTAGTTATGTTTCATGACTAGGGTGGCATATAATTTTACAATAATGACTATTATTTTATTGTCAACATAATTTTTTGACAATTATCAAAAGTTTATTTTTCAACTATTAATCCATTTTGTATGATGTTTTTATTATGTAATTGTAGTTTGATTATTATTATCATTATTGTTGCCCACGTGTCTTCTGGTTGTAGAGAGTTCGAGAAACACCGAAATGGCTAACTTTGGGGGCTCGTAAATGTGAGTATACGTTCTTTTAAGTATCATCATGAGATTGTTCTTGACAATTTCAGCATCATAGTAATTTCTTGCATGAGAGCTTTTTTTCTCTTATTCATTTAACTTTCTTTTTCTTCTTGCATCTGCCACTTCTTGTTAAGAAAGATTTTTAGCTCTGTAAGAAATTCTCTGTGTGCATTATGCCAAATTTATATGCGAAAATAAAATCAATACAATACGTTCTTTAATTGACTGGAAAACGTTTAATTTTATTTTCACCATTATTAAAATACCTTTCATCAGTAAACATTTATAATGCCCATCAGCGATGAAATTCTGTTCTTCTTCTCTTAATAATCAGTTTCCGTAGCCTTTCTTCAGTGTAGTTAATACCTATGTGCTTCTCGGATACATTAACACTGTTATATATATAGTTATGAATAAGTATTAATTCGCTCATTCAATAAACTATTTCTTAAATCACCTTTTTTATAATGAGTGGAATCGTCGGCATTTAGCTATTGGAAATGGTTTCATTGTTCCTTTGATGAAGGAATTTTAGTATCTACTAATTACCATTTTAACCGTATTGATGGAATACTAATTATTATTAAATCCGTTTAAATAACAAACTGTTACAAACATTTTCTCAAGATCTAAAAATGCAAACCAATGTTTTACTTTTAATTCCTCGGAGTTTTGCAGTTCACGAGTCTTTGTTAGGTGTCCGATAATTATTGTGGCTAGTGTTTAAATGCTATATTTGTCAAACTAATCCCTTTATGGTTATAACAGGATGATTTTAACCCCTCCTTATATATTGGGAAGATCAGTAATTGCGACCAGTCAGATGGGATTACGATGAATTCCTAGATTTTGTCTAAAACACTAGTTAACCTAATCGCTAAAACTGGAGCATCATACTTAAAGACATCTGGAGTTAGTTCATCTGGACCAGCTGCTCTTCTTCTTTTCAGATTAGCTATAGCTTTCTGAACTTTATTTGGAGTAGGGGATCTACTTCAATGTTCCATTCAGACTGTTTGAGAATGGTGAGTGGCTGCGTAAGGTAGCTGAAGGCCAGCTGAACTGCCCCTTAAAGTGTTCCACCCATCGTTCTAAATATCTGGACTGAGAGCAGATAAGGGTGTCGTCATTTTCTGAGATTGTCTCACTTACATTTGTTTTCTTAATTCCAGTTTTTTTATTAGTCTGATGTTACCTACAGCCCCCTCCTTTTCCATCTCTTTTGCTTTCGTTGCCCACCACTGCTCACGGTCGTTCCTTAGACTTTTACTTAACCTAGATCTGATTTGCTTTCGTTCACCATCGTATTCAGAACTTGATGGGATGAGTTTACGATAACCCATCAGTGCAATAGACTTAGAAGAAATCCATTGGTTTTTTGTGACACTTTGGTTTAAATCACTAGTAAATGTCACTGCTGTTTCCGCAGCTGTTCGTATCTTTCCAAGATACATCTGGGTCAACCTCGTTTTCAGAACTGCTCAGTGTGACCTCAGTTGTTGCTGGAATAGACTTTTGGTTTTCTCATTACTCAATTCAATGCTAATGGCTCTTTTTAGTGTGACTTTTCTGCATCCAATGAGGTGCAAGCAGATAAGTAGCCGTATTAGAGCATGGTCGGAGTCCAAGCAGGTATTCCAGAACGAGCGACAATCTTCTGTCGAGCCTCTCCAAGGATGAGTGATGGCAATATGGTCTATTTGAGTTCATCGTCGGTTTGGTGCAGGGGATCGCCATGTTAGACGATGTCTTCCCTTAAGTTTAAAATTAGTTTGCTAAAAACAAACGATTGTCTGAGAACAGTTGCAGCTGACGATCACCATTATCTACTGTCTGAGTGTTTAGCTTTTTGAATAAGTTTAGAAAGTTTTCTGTAAAAGTCATCTTTCACTTGATACGGGCTGCAGTCAGTGGGAATGCAGGCAGAAATGACGAAAAGGCAACGATGTGTTTCCTCATCTTTTTGAGTTCGTATGGAGCCGTTTAGCCGAACAGCATATAAACGACTGTTAACGGAGATCCATTCTGATGGTGCTTGTTCTGAGCTCGTGCTTAGTGCTATGCCTAAACCTGTCAGTCCACGAGAACTAGCCATCGGGTCGTCAAATACACGTAGGGTGTATCGTCAACTCTCCATTTTGGCGAGGTGAGGTTAAGTGAATGACCACATTAGGATCCTGTATGCTTGAGGTCGGTCACTTACAACCTTTTTTGAGTAATTTTCGTGTTAGGTTCGTACTTGTTGGGACCTTACCGACTCTGCGGAACAATTGTCCCAGCCAGTATAGCCCGATTGGTTCATCACGATAGGCAAGCCTGACCATCACGTCAAGGTAGCAAAAACGTTATCTGTCACTGAAAAGCGTAAAAAAGAAATAAATCAACTTATTACGGGTTCTATTCGAGCACTAATGGGTCGAGTTAGAGCTTATGACCATCTGAAGTCAGACGTGTCAACCTCAATTGGTGTTCGTCAAAGCTGTCCATTTATCTTATTTCTGTCGTAGATATTCTTTTAGAGATAACTTTCTCTCCGTTTACCTTCTCAGGAATTGATCTCCCACCAAGATATTCACTTGCTGACTTAGTTAATGACGCTAGCAATATACAGACTCTTCTGATCGACTTAATAGATGATCAAGAATATTTCAGATGCGATTTTCTCCCTCTTCATGAAAAATCTTGCTTCGTATCTATTCAGTTTTATTAACTGAGGCATTGTATTTTCATTTACTACAATAGTTTGTACATGTATTAGCTGTGCCCAACCACCGTCTACCCTGATAGTTGTTATATAGTACAGGAATAGTCAGGAAGAAAGCTAAGTGTGGCCATACCAAACCGTGGCACCAGTCCATGAAGTCATTGACAGATGGGTTAAACCATGTGGGTAAGTACAAGCTACCTAGTTTGGGTTCATATGAATATCGTAATTAGTGGATGGAGACATTGGATAATATGGTGATGTGTCTTGTCGTTTGAATGCTTACTTGTTATATCCGGTCGCCTCTGATTGTTATGTTGGAAACGCTTATCACTTGTACTCAGAACGAAAGACCTCTGCAATTCCCACGACGCGAAAGTGCGAACACAAAGACTGGTATAAGTGGAGATTTATTAATTCCAAAACACGACGACCCTAGTCGAAAATAAACTCATTTATATATTGATTGTACACCCATTTTGATTAATAATTAGTATTAAATCACATACTCAGTTATAACAAATCACTTACTGAGCATAGTTCATGTCAAGTGGATACAAGAATATCGTTTATTATAGAGAAGAAAATATTATACTGGGAAAACAATCAAATAATACACTGAATGATCATTACATTGAATCATAACGGTAGTAATGTTGAACATAACTCATAATTAGTAAATCAATTGAATTTTGACTTGATTCTCGTCATATCATACGGCTCAAAGTTAATCTTAATGATTCAGGTACATTCACTCTCTTTCCTCAAATCCTGATTCCGAAATCTAATATATTTTTCTTTTTTCCCTAGTCTCTTCTACTATTAATCCTTCTTCTTCTAACCTAGGCTTTAGTTTTTGATAATTTCGTTTCACTGTGTTAATGCAGTATGACAAATTGGATCGATACTTATATGTGCCAAATTTTGCATTACGTATGACTGATTAACTTTTTTTCCAAAAGGAATGATAAATATTAGTCCTAAATCTTGATGTTTTATGAGTATCACAAAGTTAAACGTCGTCAATCATAGATTGACCCACAACAACAAAACAGCATCTAGGTGTTGACCTTTATTCCTTATTTATGAAAATATTTTTTAGCGGAACACTGTGCACTAAAAAATAAGTATGGTAGCGTGTAATTTTATTGTTTACCGCTTTTTTTCTATTCTGACATTTCATTCCACCTCTGTTTAAATAGTCTGTAATCAATTTGTTTTCGTTATTAGTATACGATTCGGCTGGTTCAAATAGTTCTACTAAAATAAATCAACATAATAGCACAGGCTCTGTTCATTCATCAAAAAATCAAGATTTAATTTCCACATCTACTCGAGCTCGTTTAACTCCACTTCCTTCTGATGAACCGGTGTGTCCCAACGAATCGACTCAATTTGCAATGGATTTGCCATTTAGTCAAATTAATTCTCAACCAGTCAACAATTTTTTGTCATCATCTGGGGCTGACAGTGGTGTAGATGATGATCCTGTTATCAACCAAACTTTGAATGCTATCACTTACCCTAGTCGTCAAAGTCCATATCATTTAGATATTGGACGTCTTATAAGAGGTATGTTTTATAACAAAAAAAGGAATCTAACCTATCTCTATCATTCAATTTAATTAGTGTTAAAAAGTTTAAAATTTCAATAATTTACTAAGAAAATTTATATTCTTTACATAAATCCATAGACTAGTTATATCTCTGTCAGTCAGCTAATTGCTATGAAATGTTTCTTCAAAATGCTCTGGCTAGCAGTACCTATAAATATATATCACATACCATACCACGTTGCCTTCAAATGCCCTTGTACAACCAAGGGTGGAGAGAGTCTGCTCTCTCTCGAAATGCTCTCACATGACCACTCCTGTACAGCCACTACCAAGAAAGTCCTACTCACTGCCTACTTGCGGTAAGGTGTTTTTTTACCAAATTGAAAGGATGAAGAGCGAATGTTTGGCGCTCTAACCGATCTGGTGGAAACAGAAGGTCCACCTAGGAGAGTTGGAAAACCCTGATTCTAAACCAATAGTGCACATGGGCCCCAGTATCCTGAAGGAACAAATGGCGTATGAACCAATCGTCGGTCACCGGCTACCATGGAAGTGCAACTCCTTACATTGCTCCACCCCCTTGTGGATTAGACCTTTAGGTCAGAGGCTCCAGTTGTGGCCTTCTAAGAAAACCATCAGCTTTGGTTGGGCACCCGGCTAATATTCCAGTCCTCACACAAGTCAATTATAATCACTACTGGACTCATTATTATTGTGTGGCGCATATTTATTCGGTGCCCCCTTGTACCAATGTTTGTGTTCAAATAAATAAAAAAATTTTGCTTATTACTTTTCAAACTACACTGAATGTATAATTTGGTTTATCTTCGTTACAGAATTTCGTTGCAGTAAACATTTTGTTTGGTTTAAAAATTTCCAGTTATTCTTTTCATGAAAGGATACTTGAAAACATATTTCGAAAAAAAATCTGACAACTATATTGCTGTTTTCTGTTGAGCGATATTTTCTTTTTTTAATAATTTTATAATGTATGGGTTCAACTGATTCTTTATTTAGAGATATTCACTAATGTTTATATATATATATATATATATATATATATATATATATATAATATTCAGCATTATCGACAAACTTCAGCTTAATCAATATTCTACTTACATACCTTTTTCTTTAACTGTGACTAACGTAATTACAAGTTATTATTTCTTAAGCAAATATCTTGTTTTTTGGTCACGATAGAGTCACCTCCCAGTACATACTATGATAAAGAATAATGAGTTTTATTAGTTAAAAATACCATTAACTTTATATTCCGACCAGATCATATACAGTATACTGTCATCTTATTTAGATGAATTGTGTGTATACTTGCACAATTTGGAATCTTTTTCATCTGTATTTTAGAAACTGAACAGATCTACAGACGTTTCAGTTCTGCAGCCCGTAAATTATATGTTCTATACATCACTTTTCATTTATACAGTGTTCGTTGTTTTCGCGTAACATCATTTGGCATCATTTTTGTATTATTGCCTGTTTCTAGTTTGAATAGATGGTGCATGGTTTGTTGATACAGTACATTTCATTTGACCTGGACTAACGGCCTCTGTTTAATTAAACTATTGTATTCAAACATCTGACCTGTAGTACTTATAGATAATATCTGAAATGAATAAATCATAGAGATTAAGAAACACTACACTTTTCATATTTGCTAGTGGTCTTAAATCTTAATTACTCTCGACTGTCACCATATTTTTCACCATGCTCCTAGTATGACATTGAAATCATGAACTGATATAAGTTAAGTAAAAACTAGAAGCCTCGAAGTACTGGACAACCATTTCGTCCCAGTATTGTGACTCCTCGGCCGTATGCATCCACGACCTTGCAACGGGGGATGGAACTCAGGATCGGTAGATCAGTGGACTGTGTTCAAGTTTAACTTCAATCAATTCACGGCTTCGCGTGACCATCTTCCATTGACTTAAGTGAGTACCTTTCCCACACCCAACAGAATTTTCTCCATTGATCACGGCTGCTTACAAGTATTCTGGAAGTTCCCTCTCTGGTAAGCTCATGATAATTTTCAGCATAGTTTTGCGAAAATTGTTTGGCGTCCTCATTTGACGATGTAGGTCCTGAGTTAGATTCCTGCCTACGAGGTCATGGGTGCAGATTGCTAGGGATTCCCATACTAGGACGAAACGGCCGTCTAGTACTTTCAGGTTTACAATGGTTGTCCAACTTAGATTGGTTTGTAATTTCAATGAAATTCAACAATCTCCTTAAGCCCATACTGAAAACTTCCTTTACTGGTTTTCAATGTAAGCAGTGAGTGATTTTCTTCAAGTCGGTTTTTGCTTCAAAATTGCTTTTTAGAACTAGCTTATTGTTATTAGGATGATAATATATTGTTTGCTTCTCTCTTATCATCAGCTGTTATAATTAGTCATACCATTTTTGTTAGTCGGAACATAATTTCTCATGTATATTTAGTCAGTCACTGTCGTATTAGTGTGAATGCTCTTAAGGCTTCATACATTACTTACTTACGCTTGGAAGCTTTTTGTTTCAGTATATTAACTATTTATCGCCTTACAACATTTTGTTTATTCTAGTTTGTGTTAGGTTTCTCAGTTCTTATGTTTATTTTTGTAAGGAAAAAGTACAAGAAATATAACCATTACATATCTCTGTGCTTCATTTTTTTTCTCTACAAAAATAACCAAAGTGATGCTAAATAATATCAGTTAGATAAAAACGTGTAAATGATACTTTATAGATTATCACTTAAATATAATTACAACCGTTGTAAAACATTTAATCCCTTTTGAAAATTATAATAGTCTCATATAACGCTAATGTGAAATGCTGTTTGTATGTTCGCTTTTGATTTTGTAAAGTTTTGTCTGCTTCGAATATAAAACAATATGTTATTCTTTCAAAGCAGTCTTATTTGGTGAATATCTAATTAGTTTTTGTTTTTCCTAACAAATATTCTCATCATGTTTTATGAGTTTATAGTATTAAAATATCATGTGTATAACAACAGCATAAACACTTGTAATTCTTAGTTTTTCTTGTACTCAAATGTAGTATAGTTACTGAAAAAGAAAGTTCAGACTGAATATTTCTATAGGTTTTTGATGTTTTTGAAATAACTATGCATGATATTGGAAAGATTTTCATTCTATTATAGTATAAGGCATTAATAGGTTTCAAGTCTGTTTTTTGCTTTTATTCCATTTGATGTCGGTTTGTTGCACGTCATTTATGGATGCATGTTGTTCCAACTTTTATTTTATCATCTATACTTATAAAAATACTAAATGCATTCATCAATATTTTATTTCATGTACTTATAGATGGCATACATTTTTTGTAAATAAAATTATCACGTGAATATCTAAATAGTACTTTGATACTAATTGTATGTAATGTATGTATCTACCAGTTTTATCAACTCTACAACATTGCGACTAACTTGTAGTTCGATTTCAGTTCTAAATTTTTTGATACTCTAGAACAAATAAGTTTGTGGTTATCAGTGCTATCCAAGACGGACGTTATTTAAAACTCATCAGCTTAATGTACTTGAATCCCAGTGTTGTTAACACTAAAATATAGATTAAGTGTTTTACACTTCAAAAACTTAGCTTGTTAGTCTAGTCATTGCCTTGTTCAACGGGTATGATATATAAATTATTACCGGTTCTATAGAACCAGTCAGCTCAAGATGCACATGTACCATCTATGATTGGTCAAAATCCATTCCTAAATATCAACAAAGGGATATCTCTAACCTTTTCTATTAATGACTTCAAATTTCCCAGTTTGATAGATCGATAAATTGTTCTATGTATCAACATATTTATTTATTTATTCAGATATATAAACATTGGTACAAGGAGGCAACAAATATATGCGCGCCACACTTCGTCATTCGATTTGTCTGAAGGCCGAGATACTTCCCCGGCGTCCAAACCGAAGCAATTAGTTTTCTTACATACATATACATATACTCATTTACTGAGATTATGTCGTTTAGCTCATTTTCATCGTGTACCTTTATCTGTTTGTATTCTTGTAGATTTCATTCATTCTGTTGGTAATTTACTAAATAGGTTCGTTAAGTTTTTTATCCTTTTAATATCCCTTTTTTAACGGCCCCACTGCACCTTCTCCCTCACGTTAGCCTTATCGTTTTCCTTACTAAACACCAAGTTGTTGTACAATTTCATTCTCTTTTAATTTATCAGCATAAAAATTGTCAAGCTATTTGCTAGAAACATTTCAATTAACTCAGACAAACTCAAGTTTCAAAGTAATAGTTTATCATTTCCTGTTTATAGCAATTGATTGTCCAAACAAATAATTAATAGTTATATTCAAGGGTTACTAGAGATACATCTAATAAAATGAAGCAAATACACGAGAAAAATGAAAACTATTCAGCACTATTTGTTCCTTTTTTTAGCTGTTGCCACGGGAGCGCCGTTTGCACCGCCAATATGTCGAAGTCTTATAAGTACAGCGGTTATACGTGGTTCACGTGATGATAGCCAAGCATCTAGTAGTGTTCCTGATTTTAAGAGATTAACAGAAGATATAAGCGTGGCACCGCGAACATTAACACGTAAGTGGTTTGTTCACTTTAACTATTTGTTTTTATTGTTTTTTTCTACCGAAAAACGCGACTTCCACATTTCTTTTATTTGGATTATTACTTACGCCTGTTACCCCTCTTGAGGGAGCATAGGCCACCCACCAGCATTCTCCATACAACTCTGTTCTGAGCAGTCCTTTCCAGTTGCTATTCATCCTTTTCATATCTGCTTGAAATTTTCAGCGTAGTGTGTTCTTTGATCTTCCTCTTTTCCGTTTCCACTCAAGATTCCATATTAGGGCTTGTTTCCGTAACGCAGTTTGGTGGCTTCCTCAGTGTATGTCCTATCAACCTCGAGGGTGTTTTCGCAGTTTCCTCTTCAACAGGGAGCTTGTTTGTTCTTTCTCACAGTAAAATGTTACTAACGGTATCCGGCCAACGGACATTAAGTATCTTTCGTAGACAGTTGTTTATAAATACCTGTACTTTTGATGATGGTTGTAGTAGTTCTCGAAGTTTTAGCTCCGTACAGTAGAACTGTTCTGACGTTCGCATTGAAGATTCTGTGGTTGATATTGGTTGACAGTTGTTTTGAGTCCCATATGTTTTTCAGTTGTGGGAATGTTGCCCTAGCTTTGTCGACCCTCTTCTTTACGTCTGCATCAGATCCTCCTTGTTCATCGATGATGCTGTTCAGGTACATCAGAGTCTCCACATCTTCCAGAGATTTTCGTTCAAGTGTAATTGGGTTGGTGTCTTCTGTGCTGTATTTGAGGATCTTGCTTTTCCTTTGTGTATGTTGAGGTCTACTGATGCAGAGGCTTTTGCCACACTAGTTGTCTTGAGTTGTATTTTTCCGTGTATATGGGATAGAATGACCAGGTCATCTGCGAAGTCCAGTTTGTCTAGTTACATCCATGAATTATTAGATAGAAATTGGTGTTGTGCATACAGTGATAATAACAATGAGTGTTTTTGTCATCTAAATTTACATTAGGCATAATCGCGTTCACACATGAATTAAATGACAACTCTAGTGTGATTTTCTTCTAAATATCTGTGTTTGCATGGGTTTATTAATAGTGCGTATGATTTATAAAACGTGTATTTCAAACAAACTATAACACATCACATTTTAATCTGCCGTAACTTACGAGAAGTTGTATGTTCCCTTTCAGTTGCGTTTTTATATTTCTATTTTATGTAAATATTTTTTTTCGAATTTTAACTTTCGATAGATACTTCTACTAGAAACCAGCTAAATTGAAGCACAATATCATGTTTAAATATCGTTTGAATTATTTGAATTTCAAGACCTACTGAAAATGGATAAATATCGATAGTAATAGTTTGAGTAATAGATTTTAAATCAAAATTTAATATCCCTTCCGTATAAAAATCATTTTAAGATTTCACTAGTTCCCATTCAACCCATTATTCAACAATGTTTTTAGTTATCATATCCGTATTTATTCAATAATACACGTGGATATCATACATAGTAACAGTTAAAGCATTTGATTTTCATTTATCTGGTCTCACATCTTAACTATGCTCCCCGCTCACTTAAAACAACCTTGTTGGATAAAATAACATTTCATCACAAACACAAATGTCTGATTTATAGTTGAGTTAATTTACTTTAGTATATGTAACAAACTTTCATTAAGTGATTAACAAGTAAATGGATTAGTTACCTCTTCTAAAGTATATAAATTCAGAGTCCTCTCTTGGTTCGCTACTACACTTCTCCATATTAATAATAAATCCCTCACAACCTAATGCGGAACTTTTTCTTTAACATTCTTTTTATTTTCCTCTCGCTTTATCTTTTGTTGAATAGACGAGTAGCTTAAAATGACCTTTGACCTAAACTGCAGTTACGTGTTTATTTTCTTTCTAAACTCTAAAAGAGTATTGTTATCAATAGTTTTACTAATAATCTCCACACAAACATCTTATAGCTACTATGTCTCAATTTATTTACTAATTTTATGATTTCTAGCTGGAAGCTCTCAAGAATTTTTGGTTCCCAGTGCGCCATGTGTCCCAGAAGTGTACCCCCTGGAAACACTACATAACGCTTTAACTTTAAGTCAATTGGAAGCCTTTCTTGTTCGTTTAACTACTCATAAGTTTCCGACTCCATTTACATCACCGAAACACCCATCTACTCCTGTAAATTATTATCACCATCACCATCACCATCAACCTCAGTTAAGTCAAACTACTCTTGAGTTCTTCTCTCAGTATCATGACTTGTGTACTAATCTATCTTCTTCACTTCCGAATTCTACTGGAGATGATACTGCAACACAGGACTGTTCCAATATTGTTGATGAAGCCTCTACTCAAGTACAGCAACCTGTGTCATCAAATGTTACGTCAATAATCCCATCCGCACCACCGTTTCAAAACATTACTTCCGGAAATACAAATTACCAACAGTAAATCAAAAAAATTCCGACTGTCTTTTCTTCCCTAATTAATAAAAGGTTAGTAATTCTGTGGTGGTATAAGTAAAATTCTTCTAACTCAATTTGTTTGGAATAAAAGTGATATCTAAGTTGGAAAAGTGTGACTATCAGTTAAATCTATACTAATAATTAATTTACTATAGCCGTGATATTACAAAGCTTTTCAGCACAATTTCCATGAAAAGTCTTTCGATTATGTAAAACCGACAAAAAAACTGGTCGATAGTGTTTATCTAACGTAACGAATTCCAGAATAATAAAAATATTTTTACTGATTGTCATAAAGAATGAATGAGATAATCCATGTAACAGGTTAATCCAAAATTAAGATAAGTCAAGCTATCTCCCAACTATTTGAAGTAAGAAATTGTTGGTAAAAAGTAGGGCTTTCTACATATTCATCTGCTTAAAAGTTCGGAGCACAAATTTCAACTATTATCCCGGTATCAGATTAAAGATTGTGGTGATTGTTGGGTGTTATTGATGTTACAAACCGACCTGACTCAGACGACCATTGAGAACCTGGAAGAACTTGGTAGCTGCCTTTCCATAGCATGGAAATCTTCAGCAGTTCTCATCCACGACTTCGCAGGCGGGAGTCGAACCCAGTACCTTTGATCTCGTTTGCGAACACGTAACTTCTAGACCACTGATCCAGGATCCAATGGTGTGCATATCTAACTTTGTGATCTCAGTAATGTCACCCTGTTAATTGTTTCAAGCTAATATTCTGAACTACCTTGGAAACTACCTTTTTTAGTTTTATAATTACGAAGCTCATAACTGCCAGCTTTTCAACCTATAACATTTCCACAAGGCTGTCGTTAAATTCTTTTCCCTATGAATATTTTTTAACTGTCAGCTAGTTTTTATGGCTGTACTCATAATAATTGAAATATATCGGCAAATAAGTATCATTCATTTTCCATGTAGTAGTTTAATACATTGCATTTAAGTTTGTTTATAGTTAAAATAGGCATCATGTAATCGACTGTGTATTGCAATACATAGAACTCTTGAAACTTAAAGACATTCTGTTTTTATTTTACTGAAAATACTACTTATTTCTTTGGGGCTGTTTCTACATTGAAGTAGTTTTTCATATTCTTTGGGGAATCGTGCACGTGAAGTGGAATACTACATTCTTAAAAAAATTGTTCCTCATGAGATTGCTTTTGTTTTGTTCCAACCAAACCGTATACATTATATATTGCTTCAAGTCAGTCAGTCAATAACAACGTAGAACTTCGTACGTACGTACATCAGTTCGAGTTGCCACACCACGTTAGCACAGAGATGCAGTGGTCGATTCAAATCCCATAGTGGTAGAGGTAATAAGAGTATAAGCAGTAATCGGGAAGATTAGTGTTTGGAGATGTTATTTAAAGAGTATAATACAGTGAAGTAAATTTGGGAAGAAAAAAAAAAGAGACAAGGAGGAATAAGGAGATCGAAATTTGGGAGAACACAAAGAGTGGATGCACCTGCGCCATTGCAAACGATTTTGAGCCATGTCATTCAGGGTCTCTAACCATCGGTTGCTATCATCTCGCGGTCCCCAACTAGGTAGTCTACACCTACCAACATGACTCAGTCCACTTGCTTCAAAGCTACTAATAGGCCAGGGATGAGTGTTCGCAGTTTAGCGGTTCAGCTAGCTAATGTTACCCACCCCCACATATCCCCACCTAAGTCACTGCAGCAATCTGTAAACTGGTATGTGTTTTCAGTATAGTCACTCAGGCCTTGGCATAAAGCTTCTTATCCAGTCTTTATTCCTTTTTGTAAAGATTAGTGTATACAACATTAGAAAGTGTGGATTATTGGTTAAATCAAACCCCAGAGAACAAAACTTTTGTATTCATATAAGTCAGTAACCTAGAGTATTAACCGAAAGGAAAATATACCTGTTAATAAAGGGTTTGAAGAACTGATCTTATCAAGAATTATTCGTTTATAATAACACGTGTTCAGTTTCAAGTTCAAATAAACACAATCATTGAAATCGTATTCTGATATGATACTAAGGAATTCTTATCTCGAATCACTGTAATAGTATATTGAACTATAAAATATGAAAGGTATTTCTATAAGTTGTCTAGTTTACTGACATTTGTTACAGATTACGTGGCTTTTCCCATCATAATCAGTTATTATTTATATTTGTATTTCGAGAATAAAATTACTTTTTCTGAGTATTTTTATTTACTTTACCAACAAAACAACGTAAATTATATGAGTAAATATATTTTTTTTCTATTTTAGTCGATTTCTTCATCTGTGGATAATTGAAGAATATCACAAGTTCACTTTTGCCTCTGCTTCTGTATACATATAATAAACAGTTTTCTCCTAATCTTATATGATCCATTTCATCTAGATATTGATCTCTAATTAATCGAGTATTTATTACTTGTTTTATTTTATTACCAATATTTTCTTAGAATTTTTTTCAGTTTGTCTGTATTTGTTTACTCTTTAGTTCCTTGTTTGTATATAATGGTTTTCTAATATTGCCTTTTTATTTTGTGTACTTTTTTTCTTTTCTGTTAGTTATTTAATAATAATTCAAGAAAAATACAGGTATTGGTTTGAATAATTGAAGCATTTTCATTTCTACTAGAAAACATTTAAAGTATTATTAAGGTATAGTATATATTTTGATGATCATCTGTAAATCAAGTTGATTAGCATTAGATAGTAGGCAGTAGGAAACCATGAACCTAGGTTTTACGCTGGGTAAAATTCGTCAGCAACATTTACCCGCTATGCTGAGGGGACTGTTGCTGCATGTGGTAGTTGAACATGCGTCATCTAGCTTCACAGTCTGAGATGTTACCACTGAGCTATCCTCACAATAGCTGGTTTTTGAAGATACTGAGATATTTACATTCATTGATCACTGATTAGTGTTCAATGTCTGTTTATATAGTTCTTAGTTGCAGTGTAGTCACTGGCCTAGGCTGCTCGACATTGCTAACCACCTTCAATTAATTAACATCAAAATAGAATTCTGTCACCACGTCACTAGTGCTTACTTCAAGTAAAAAAGGATACGGAGGACTTTGTTTAATATTCTAAGAACTCAGCACTAAATAATTTAACAATAATAATGTTGTATCGAAAGCTTCTCGTTGTCTTGAGCCAGCGATCAAAATACAGTGAATCCACAATGGAATGATATTTCGGTCAATTGGAATTAATTTAATCAATTTGAAGCTGTAAGTCCTCAACTACTCAAGCTGGTTCTAACCATTGATAGAGGTTTTCCAGTCTATGGTATTTGTGTATTATTTGCTTGTTTTCGGTGGTATTTTCTACTGATTAGTTTAAACTAGCTTCAGACCTATACACGAGAGGTTCCGATAGATGTGTAGTCTGTTATTGGGCTACATTTTGATAAATTCGGTGAAACAAACCTGTGCAATATCTTGTGGTCTCTACATGTTAAAGTTTGGGGAAATTTCTTTTCATGTAATAGTTGTAGTTGCTAAAATTAAAATAAAAACTTTGTTTTGGAACATTAGTATTAAAAATTTGCAAGAATTATTAATGGATACACATAGTTTCGCTTCGTGATTTGTTATCAGCCTGAGTTCATTACCAATTTCTGAACGGGTAATTCACCAATTAATCTTTAGATCACCGATTTACTCAGCTTCTGTTGCCTGTATATTCTTGGTAAACTTCTTTATTTCACTATTTTGATTAACAGCTTAATAAATGCCTGAGTAGTTTATACCACAAATAGTCGTGTTTTTTTAAATTCGATAACGAATGGATTGTCAACATTTTTCAATACTATACAGAATCATTTTATATATAGATTTTACAATGAATCTTATACTAAATAATTTAAACGAAATTTGGTAAGAATGTAGTGGTTTGGTGGAGTATATATGTCTAGGTCACAGTGACTAGTTTTTAGCCACAAATCGTCCTAATTATATTCATTTCAGTTAATACTTATGATCTGTATTGATTAAAACAGTTATTAGTAAAATTATGTATCAAATACTTAATGATGATACCGAAACTTCAACTATTAAGTTGTGGTAAAAGAATTGAAGTATAGAAAGTGCGATCTGTTAAGTGCTTATTAGATGATAATTCAAAAATGTTTCCAGATAATTCAAAGCAACCTTTATGCTATTATATCAGGTTAACTGAAGAAATTTGACATGTCCAAATGTGCTAATTGACCTAAAGAAATTTTAGACGTTTTTTTGCTTGTTAAACACGAAGCTAAGTGTTGTTTTAATTGGAATAGATAATAGTCTGACTTATACAAATATTTAGTAGTCTTACTTTATTTAATTAAAGTGATTGCATAAGATCAGTCTAATAAGTTCCATTTGTCTATTTAATTAATACTAGGTAAACCTAGTCAATTGACTCGTATTATCATGGATGTCAATAATCTGCAGAATAGAACTTCATTTAGTTTTGCTGTAGAGCTCAAAAGACAATTTCGTATGGAGTAAATTTAATGATGAATATTTTGTATGACTTTTTAGCGTTTCAAACTCATTTTATGTGAAGTTCATCAAACATTTTACAAGCATCTTTAAAAAGATTATGTCATAGATGTTCGAAATAGACGTATGCAATAAAACTACTGAAGTGACAAAAATAATAAATCGTCATACTCAAGAAATCACCATATTTGTTGAAAGTGGACTCCATTAAACCTATATAAGACTTTTTTATCATAGGGCCAAATAGACATAGGGTTTGGCGAACAGGTCTCGCGCTTGAGAATTTAATTCTTCCTTTTTGTGCTCACTTTATCCAGTTGTAATTATTATTTTAACTTTTGGTTGGCTAGGGTACCGCTCCGGTTTCTAAATCCAACCAGGTGGTTTTCTTAGATCACTCTTCGAGTCTTTGACCTAGAGTTACAATCCACAAGGCAGTTGTGTAGCGTTATGGGATGCAGTCCCATGGTAGCCGATGACCAAGGATGGGTTTATA